CTATTATAATTTTAAAGTATATTCCTTAGCTAAGGGGTTTTGGAGTCTCTGGGTTGATCCGGGTTTTAGGGTTTAGGGTTTCGGGTTTAAGGTTTAGGATCAGGGAACCTGATAGTCTCCATGGTAGCTGCTCCTGTGATTTGGGGGGTGTTCACCAGTGTTATGGCCGGGACGCTACTATAAGGCAACCTTTGAGAGAAGCTAGGATCGAGACTGTGGGGGAAACAGTCTTTCGATTGCGGTTTCGAGTTTCGGGTTTACGATTCGCATTTACAGAGAAGTTTTTGTGTGGCTATAGTCCTTTTTGGAAGCTGATGTAAGCCTGCCCAACAAAGTGTTTGGATTCCCAAAAGTTAAAAGAGGCTCTTGCTCAAGCGGTGGAGTCATCAGTGTGGGGTCACCTGAGAATGGAAAGCTTTTGCGGCTTTTCGGGTGTGTTGAGATTTTAGGGCTTAGGGTTTAGGGTGCTTTGCTGGAACCCAAGAATGTCAAAGCTTTCTGGCCTGCAAATTTTGTACAAGCAAAGCTCCCGAAAAACCATGGAATTTAGCTCCGGTCTTGTTGGGCCGCCTGGCTTCGTTGAGTTTGAGAAGTTGATGGTATAAATCCTGCATACCCATAATAAGGAATATATCATAATTCCAATAGTTTAGGGTCCTTATAAGGTACTGAAGGATTAACCAGACAGGATGCCGTGGCCGCCAGTCCTTCGACGAAGCACTGTTGGGATGAAAAGGCCCTTATTCCAGATCTAGGATTTGGGGGTGTATGGTTTGCTTAGGGTCTAGGGTGAGCCCTTTCCGGAATATGGATGAAGGGTTTTTTGGGTCGGAACTGGGGGCGCAGGGCTCTGTGGTTTCCGTATCCTAGGATGAACTATGAAAGTTGCAAGCAGAGCTTGGGTGCAAGCGTTTTGGTTCGGGTTTCGATTTCTGAGTTTGTGGCAAGGGTTTGACATTTGTGATCAAGGATTTTTGCGTTTTTAGCCTAGATTCCAGATGTTGGGCTCGTTCTCCTGTTGCGGCTGCTTCCTTCACAAGAGCCCAGGCCCAAGGCATGGAGCAGCAAAGGGCTGTGGCAGCGATGGCATTTTTCTGAAACGGATCATCTCAGAAGTCGCTTCTAGCAACCAGGTTTCCCTTGAGAGTTGTTTCCTTTCTGATTACAACGTAAACTGCCTCGAAGGGTTGAGACTAATTGTTGTCACGCCCGGCTTAGAATCTTAATTGTGAAAAGGGGGCGGCCAAGAGAAATCCAAAACAAACCTTACCCTTCTTAAGTTCAGCTCGTCTCCATCCGTTCTGAGCTATCAGCAACGGGTCCAGGATTTCGGGAAGGCATATGGGGTGCAGCAGCCCTTGGCTACACCTGAAGTCCTTGGCTCGCGAGTGAGAGCTGGAAGTAGCCCCTGGGAGGTGGTTCGTGCATGCAGCGGTCGGCAGCTGCGTCTCGCTTGGTGACCAGTAAGAGGTGTAAACGGGTCCGTGACACATACTGTTTGCGCCAAACTATTGCCAGCTGCTTTTACACGCTGTCAGTGCATTCTATTTCATGCTGATCTAGTGAGGCTTGAGGGGTAGCTTCATTTCGCGACGACGGCTGTTCAATCATTTTGCCCTTGGTTCTTTTCAAGCAGCTGAAGCAATTTGCACTGCCTTTCATGCTTGCTTTGAAGTTCCATACCATGCTTGATCATGAGTAAAACTCTTCTTTATTGGTTCGTTACTCCATCTATTGTATAGTACGAATACATTACATCCCGCATTCGTGAGCTGCGCCTGGGAGTCTAGGTCACTCGGGTTCCGGGACCTGCAGCGGTTTGAAATGGCTGCCAGCTTATAACCTTGGGCGTCGCAAACATCAGACTAGGGCTTCAGGGCAGTGCATTTCTAGCATAGGCTCAGCCATGACCCCAAAGCAGATAAAGTGCTAGGCTAGGTAAGAACCTATGCCTAAATAGCACGTTCTTGGACAGGGATTACAAAGGTGTCCATGGAAAGGCAAAGTCAGAAGTACATCACAGGGGTTAGATGGGTGGATTGGTAGACAGATAGGTTGTGTGGGTGTGCATAAAACACAGCAAGTGTACAATCATGTATTGCAGCGCAGGCTGCTTACAAGTGCCTCTGTGCGAAGACTCGGTCGGAACTTTTGCTGGAGTCCAAATGCAACTCACAGTTCATGGTTGCATTGAGGCTCGCAGAAACGTGGAAGCCTGACACTGCAAGCCGCCTAAAACGCTCATCCGTTCAGGTTGTTCCTGCTCCTGACTGATTCTTGCCCGCTCGAACTGGCAGTGGAAGTTCAGGGCCGACTCCTTGCAGAAGGACTGGAAGGTTTAGGGCTTAGGGTTGAGAAGCTGCAGTTGTCAGGTTTGGTTATTAATGTAGCGGGACAGGAGTGTCGTACTGAATGATGCGACAGTTGCTCCAGTGGCAGGCACAGACACCCATGTTACTGAGACGAAGCAGTCGTGCGAAGTTCAAGCAGCCAAGAGGAGCCAAAGCCTCAGGAAGGCATCTGAGTGGTAGTAGCGAACATTCAGCATGTCGCGCGTTGTGCGAATCAGGCATGCATGCAGGTTTCAAGAGTTGAAGCTTCCACCCCCGGCGCCACCACAACCACAACCACAACCACCACAACCACAGCCACAGCAGCATCATCATCATCATCATCGTCATCATCATCATCATCATCGTCAACATCATCATCGTCGACAACAACACCCACCACCGCCAACACCACCACCGCCGCCACCACCACCACCACCACCACCACCGCCAACAACAACAACCACAACAACAACAACAGCAGCAACACCGGCAGCATCAGCAGCACCAGCAGCACCAGCAGCACCCGCAGCACCGGCAGCAGCAGCAGCAGCAGCAGCAGCGGCAGCGGCAGCGGCAGCAGCAGCAGCAGCAGCAGCACCACCACCACCACCACCAACAACAACAACAACAACGACGATTAGCAACAACATACATTACCGCCATCATCACCTTCGTCTCTTACCACCACCATAACCCACAGCATGTTCGTCATCATTACATCCGTCATCAACGGAGAAGAACGATCAGCGGCATCGGCGGCGGCACTGACCTAACAGACTCCTCCTTGATTACTGTGGGATTCCCTACCGGCTGGCATGCTCATCGCTTTGTAGATCTGTAAACCCCAGAATTGACCTGGAGTGAGCTTGAGCTTGTCTTGAAACGAGATTGCATGTTTTTGCCGCAGAGCCCGTCCTGTAATTGCCGAAGGAAACCGGCTTCACTATACAGAAGGTGACTTCAGCTTCTTGAGAGAACGACTCAGCGCACCCTGGCTCCAAGGCATACGCAACGGGTGAAGACCTTGTGCCTTTAGAGGAGGCTACTGGAGGCTAAGATCTTGCGCACGGCGTTGTGGCTGTTGTGGTTGCGGACTGGAAGCATAGCAGCCCAACCTCGAACCATGCACCTTTGCTTGAAGTCCCTGGTCCCTGTTCGGGCAAAATTATGGACAAAGGGCCTTGCAAAGGACTCAGAGGATGTTCAATCGCTCTTGTGCTCTTTACTCAGAAACCATGGTACACCTTGCAAGAACGCCCCAACACCCGAGTCACGAAAGGAAGCGGCGGAGCCGACTGCGACCTCATTGCTCCGTGCTTCCATACTGACTTCCTTGGTTTCTGCTGATGTGCCACGCCGGATTTTCGAGAATGTAAAGCACATCAATGGCACCATAAAGCCTGAAACTGTAAAGGCAATCACGGAGCTCGTGCGTCGTGTGTGTGTGTGTGCGCGTGTGTGTGTGTACCCTCCCCAGCCTCAAGTTGAGACTACTTGATCACTTGCAAGAGCCGGAGATTGTTTTGAGTCTCGGATGTATATGGGGTTTGGAGGTTCAAAATGAAGGACACTCCACCACACATCCAGGCAATATGCCGGGAGCCCCTCAACCTGTGCAAGGCATACCCTTCCCGAGTCAATGGACCCGCAATCTGAAGGTACATGACGAACTTCCGCAGTCCTCATACTAACTTACTGTACACAAGTCTCCAACCCTCAGCTTTGAATTTGACTCAATCCGCAAGCCTTATGGGGCCTTAGGGGTCCTGAGGTGGAGCACCTGCCATGCTTGACGGCAGCCATGTCGGAAGCTGACTTCCTGGAAGGTCTCGCGCCACGTCGGAAACAAGGTGGTGAAGGTTATTTGTCGTCTTCGTCGTCGCAGCAGTAGCAGGAGCAGGAGCCGTTGCAGTTGCAGTTACAGTTGCAGTCGCGGTTGCTGCTGCTGCTGCTGTTGTTGTTCTTGTTGTTCTTGTTGTTGTTGTTGTTGTTGCTGCTGCTGTTGTTGATGTGGTTGTGGTTGTGGTTGCATCGTGTGGCTTTCTGGAACCAAAGTATGACCAGTAACTGTAGTAACACGATTCGATCATATTTAAGCGGTTCTGACTTGCGAACAACACGAGCCAGCTTGACTTTCCAATGTTCGCCTCGTATTCCCAGAAACCCGACCCATGGCCAGGGAGCCCTAACCTAAACCCTAAACCCTAAAAGCCCGAACCCACAAGGTGAAGATCCAGCCATGGCTCCTCCGACATGAGATGTCGATGGATGGGGATTCCCTGTGCTTTAGCGTGGAGGCATTCCTTGGGGATCTCTGCCCAACGTCGAAAGCACTGAACCTCGGCCCTGAAGGTAGCTGTAAGTTGTGAACATCGAGTCCATAACTCTGAATTGGATTTTCAGCCGTGTTCTGAGCTCACTGCTGCACAGTTCTGCAGTTGGACCTGCAACCCTGTAGCATGTAATCTGGCCTCAGTTCAGCTGCTGTCAACCGCAGGCCCCTGAATCTTTGCATGAAAGTGTACTTCATGTTTCGAGGATTGAGCTTCCTTAAGAGACTCGAAACTTGAAGGGCCGGGACCGGCTTTTCAGAAATGGCATCGTCCTTTTTCTGCTTTTCTGAGGAGCCATCTACTAGAGTCCGCTTGCGATGCTGGGCGGCTCCAGATGGTCAAGAGCCACTACTGTCAGAACTTGAACCTTGAGGAGTTTGAGCTTATACTCCGCAAGGTGAGTGTGGTTCGGGATTCATTAAATTGGAATCAAAAGCTCCATAGTTTCGAGATTAAATCCATGCCAGGTGTCTTCCACCACTTTCTATGCCAGGTTGCAGCTGGATTTCTGGCAATTTTGGGCAGATCCCTTGTCACAGCGCCTCGGAGAAGCCCACTTTGCGGAGTTTGTGCGCAAGATGCACACAAGCTCCGCAGCTTTGGCTCAGGCATGCCCACACATGGCCCTAACGATGCTCAGGGTCCTGCGTACAGCCTGCAAACGACGTGGTGCGTGCGCAGCCGAAATCGGACTGGGAATCACAGCTGCCCTCCAGATCGCGGAAGGCCTGGGTGAGGAAAGGTCTCAGCTCCAAGACGAGGTGGCCTTGTTGACACCAGCCGTGCAGGAGACAAGCCTTAAAGGGAAGCTGGACCTAGTTGCCTGGTTGCCTGCACTTGAGCTTCTTGAGACTGCGGCGTTTCAAGATGGATTCCGCTTGGTTGAAGCCATGCTTGGCCATGCAGGCATTCAGCAGCTGCTAGAGTTGCTTGATGCTCGAACATTTGCCACCTGGCCCTTCAAAGAGCTGATTCTTGTGTTTGCACAGAACGCGACCTCGAGACACTACGAAAGTCAAGGAAAAATGACTGCAACGAAATTGCTCGACGACCTCGAGGAGCTTGCCACCGCCGAAAACACCGATGTTTGCGTACCGTGGAGAATGAATGACAACAGTTTTTGTTGCTGTCGATGTGTTTAGTAACTTGCAGACGAGCAAGAGAAGCACTAATAGGACCAATAAACAGCATGACTTTCGAATTGCCGACAACTCCCCACAAGGTGAGCTTAATGGCAGGCATCGCGAGCCTCAACGTGGACAACTGGCGAAAGGCCATTGACGACGAGGCTTGCCTGCGCTTGCCACGCTGGTCTCATTTCAAGGCTGACTGCATCAGTGGACTTCATCAAAAGCTACGTAAGAGGCTGGAGGAAGTCTACACGCAGGTGGTCGCTTTAGAATTGCTCATGGGTAACTTGCATGAGCTGGTTCAAGCTGAAAAGGCTTTCGCTCGAGCTCTTCAACTGTTTGGCTTTGACCTGTCAGGCTTGGCAACAGCTCAAGCACGGCTGCAAGAGCTTGGCAAATCACGACGTAAACTGCAACTGTTCAACGTGATTGCCGAATGGCACCCGTCCTTGTTCAAACACCTCCAGCGGATAAATCAGTCGGTGAAGCAAGTCATGGCTACGTGGGACAGTACACCTGCAATGCACTTGGAGCACACTTGCCAAGAGTTGATTCAGGACTTGCCGGAACCTCCGATTATCACAGCGTTGGATGCTTCACCACGTGTTCGTGCTCTGGTCATAGATGTCTTCTATGGGAAGACTTCAGGGACAACGCCACCGCTGCCGGAGTTCGTAGACAAAATCCGTACAGATTGGTCGAAGTTTCTTAAGTCACTGCAGTCTGGGGACATCAGAGTCGCGGAAATTGATGCAAAAGCCCTCCTCAAGTCGGGTGACAACGAGCAAACTTTGTGTGGCTGGCTTGAAGAAGAATTCCGTCTCCTGAGAGGCTGGATAGCAGCCACGGTCCTGCTGCATTGTTGCTTTTGTTTGCCCAGGCTTGGTTGAATGTACAGTAGTGTGCTGGCATACGGCGGCTGTCTTTCGAACATGTACCCAGGCATGCAGTCAAGGGCTATCTGCAGGTTTGCGGAAGCATGCTAGCGTGCTCCCGGCTGAACGTCAGAACTGAAGAAGCATGCCAGACAATCAGGCGTGATGACACAAACACATGAATATGAGCAACAGAAGCTTGGACCAGAAGACTTTGCAGCCGAGCGGATTGATGGAAACCGGGCACGAGTCGATCACAGAAGTCTCGCCAACAAGAGGAGCGCCGCACCCTTCCCAGAATGACAGCGTGTACCTCGAATCCACATTGACATGAAATCGTGCAAAGCCGTGAAGGTGGAGATCTGTCTGTAGAGTCTGTAGAGCTCACGTGGTGGGTTTCCCGATTCAGGAGGAAGCATGGTCTTATTGAACATTAATTATCACATGATGTAACGGACAATTGCACTTCAGCTCCAATCCACCCAAGTCGTCATGTCCACCTGTGATTCTTCAATCTTTCGCGACGGAAGAGACGCAGTCTCAAATCTCGGAGACTGGAGCTTTTGGGAGCGCAGCTCTTCTAGAACACGCATGGTAGAGTATGAATTCCGTCATGTCTTTGCTAGAATTCTCTTGACCGCGCTGATACTTGGTCCGACAGACTTGTGGTGCCCAAACTCGAGTTCAAAATGTTTTCTTTCTTGCGTAGGCCCAAACTTAAACCAGCAAACCTTCGAAATCGAAACGAAGATTTCTGTCTTGCTGCACACTGGGTGCCTAAATTTCGACATCTAGTAGAAGCCTGGGCCCCTTCTGCCTTCCGGTCAGCCGGTCTGTAAGGACTGTGGCTTCTGGCCTCATTCAGCGCCCAGACTTGTTTGTCTCCTGTTGTCTACATGCAGGTCTTGAGGCGGAGGTCACCTGCAAAGAGCATGATGCGCGCCGCATCGCACAGGAGCGCCGAAAGCATGTCTCAAGCTTGGGGAGCATCGCAAGGCTGAGGCTGTGCTGGTGGCGTGAGCTCATGAGGTTACGCCAGGTCCTTGAGACGTTCCGGCTGTGCATCGACCCACCCCCAAGGAAACATACGCCTGGATGGGCGAAACCCAAGCTTAAGCCCTTTCAAACCTCTGTAACATGGAAGTGCTTTCTACTGTAAGATTTAGTGACACTGTAGCGCAGATCCAATCAAGTCTCATAGGTCCGGTGTAAAACCCGGCGAAATTAATCGAAAGCCCGAAATCAGGATCTTGTCGCCCTGGACGAGTTTGACCGTTATCGAAAGCTGATTCAGGACGTCAACACCTTGCTGAAGGCCGGGATGTTACGTGCTTTCGGGTCAGGCGCTGTGGTTTCGAGCTTCGGTTGCGGCCTAAGATTTTGGTCGGAAGCCGGCTGTTGGCAGCTGTGCGTCGCCGACGTGTCCGTAGACGCGACCCAGCAACAGCCAGCAGAACAGAGCAGACCAGGCGCTGTGCACCGGAGCGAGCAACTCGCGCACCCTAAACCCTAAAGCCATCTCGAATACCCGTGCTTGCAGGAGCTACAAAAGTTCGACCAACTCGTGGCTGATGACTCTGACGATCAACTCCGCCAGCTTCTTATCAAGCAAGAGACTCCAATCTACACGATTCAGGAACATTAGTTGAACATTGGCTGAGTTCACGAACGTTTGCAAATTATGCTTACAGTGCATATCGCGCTCTTGGGGTGATCCCTTTGCGATCTCAGGTTTTTTTTTGGGGGGGGGTGCTTGCTGTGGCTTAGGGTTGCGCTTGGGGGTGGAGGAAGATGATTGGAGGGGGGTGGGCGAGGCGGCGGAGGCCAGCCATTCATTGTTTCTCTGAAATGGAAGGTTGGTTGTTGCAGGTATCGGAAGTCGAGCATCTGTTCGTTTGGGGTGCCGGCAATAGTCAGTCTCAGACTCCACCTGAGATGATACTGCCCGAAACCCGCAGCCACAGCAATTCAAAATAGAGAGTACCATGCCGGGAGATGCTCGCCACGATTAGAGCGAGTGAGGTTCGAGCGGATGTACAACAAAGTGAAGGAGTTCGATCTGGACGTCTGCTCAAAGCGGTTTCATGGTATCTGTATCGGCTTAGGAATTCTTAGGGTCTTAGGGTCTTACGTTTGAGGGCTCGTGTGGCTCCAGGGCGGTCGCCGATATCACTGGTTTCTTCAACGGTTGGGATGTTCGCTCTGAGGTCGTGCTCTTCTGCGAAACCCTAAACCCTCGTCCAAGCTAAGTGGCAGGGGTAACAACCCTTAGACCCCAAACCCCTAAACCCTGAAAGCCCTAAACCCGTAGACCCAAAGCCAATGCCAGGACTCATGTCTTTTGAAGATGATCAAGGAGTACTCCAGCTCCACCGTCGCAGGGATTCCCGTGCGCTCCCTTCAGGCGGAGGCTATTCGAGGTCTTGTCTGTCCCATGGACCGACGGCTGCCTGATCAGCGCTCTTTGGCACGCCACTTTGTCGAAAGAATCTAAATCAAAGCACGGTTGCTCCAGGCCTCTCTTGAGGACATAACTCAATTCGTAAGACTGCTGTGGTCTATTCTTGATTTAAGTGTTTGGTGGTTATGGCTTGTCCTATTCGGACGCTTTCTTCAGACATACAAGCTGCAAAATCAGGAGCTGCACCCATCTCCTTTTGCAGTTTACGAAGACGCAGGCTCATAATTGGAACCCCCGATTGTTGCCCAGAAACTCACAAAGAAAGCCGAGGTATGAAAGTCCTAAAGCCGCTTGCTGCCCAGAGACTCACAAAGAAAGCCCTAAACCCTAAACCCGAGGTATGATCCTGGAGAAGAATGCGGCCTTGCAGTTCTTGTGGGACCAGAGCATGTTTCAGGAGCTGGAAATCATGGCGCCTTTGAGGGCTTCTGGGTTTAGGGCTTTTAGGGTTTAGGGTCTTAGGGTTTGGGGTTTAGGGTTTAGGGTTCTAGGGTTTTAGAGTTTAGGGTTTAGGGTGCCTTTCATCCAGAGGTTGCTTGCAGTTTGCACCGCAGCGAAGTCTGCTCCGTCACATCTCCTCATGCGGCCATAGCGTGAGCCTGCATGATGCGAAGCTTTCTGCGGTCCCTTCCCAGGAGCTTGAAAGAGAGCATCGAACAAGTATGGTTTAGTAATGTAGGGTTTAGCTAGAAGGTTTGGTGCTGGGTAAGCAGGTCCGCATCCAGCATATCCCGAACACGCAAATTCAGAAATGCACCGAGTCGAATCTCAAATGCACTCAAAGCTACTGCTAGAGTTTGGAAGCGTCGAAGGACGTTCAAATAGACAGAGGACATCATTCGATCCCCACAGAATGGTTGGGGATCTCCTGTGCCGAGGTGCGAGAGAACATGGCCGACTTCCAGACACCCCAACGGCAAGCATTGCAGGATCTGGCTTCCTTGAGGCGCCGCCGTAATTATTCGCAGCAGGTTTGCAATTTCTTTAAACATGAAAAAGAGAGCCATGCACCGCCAAGGAAACACTGAGAGAAAGCAACCATCCGCATTGGTCTTCCATGCCCAGCGTGAGATATACTGCCGCCTTTGAAATTACAGCGGCAGTATGCGCAGCAGAAGCAGCTACATTGTCTCCTTTCTAAGCTAGCTCATGGACTGTAGCCTCCGTCTTCGTCGTGGGACGACACATAAGGTCTGAGTTTTTTTTTACGATTGCTGAAATGGGTTTACTCAATCACAAGACAAGGAATCTGGGACTTCCACGAATGCTCTGTCATGATCATATATGAGCATGTGATGACAGGCCTTTCCTCGAGGACGTCCTCATGACAGGTACCAAAGCTGGAACCAGCTTTGTCATTCGGAAGTTGGCGCAGTGGATCAGGTGAATTTGAGGGCCGTGTTTAAGTCCCAAAGCGGTCCTGCTGCAATCCACGCAGGAGATCAGGCACTGGTGCTGAGATGAATCATTCATGGGGCGAAGGTCCAGAGAGCGAGGCAACGTTTGAACGACAATGCGCAATCAATGCTTGGGGTGATGGCGTCCGGTTGCCCCCGGTGTCGCTTCCGATCCTGACATGTGGCCAAGTACGATACAAGCATCAGTGCGAGGAACAAGTCAAAGCTAAGCAGCCTCTTATTGGGATCACGCGGAGTAGTAATTCTGGAAGCTACAACTTTGGCCTAGAAAACCGAACATGGGACTGCACAGGAAGAGGTCAGTACAGTGTCACCATGAATTCTGTCCGAGGCCTTATCTATGTCTCAACAGAAAGACAGTATCCTACCATTTTATGGGTTCAGATAAGATAAGTCCTTTCGCAAGGTGTCTATTTGCGAGATTCCTAAACCCTAAACTCTCTTACGAGCGGCATCGCTTCCCGACTCCAGGTGGGCACTCCATATCATCCTTGGCCCAGGCAGGACTAGAGTTTAGGTTAGGGTTAAGGCGTTACCCTAAACTTTAAGCCCTTAACCCCATGTCTAAACTATTCTTCACCCCAGATCCGAAACAGCGGTATGAAACACTGACGAGCTCGAGGTTGACAGGAGAATGCGAGGGCTTGTGTGTTAAGAGATTGGGATTTGGGGTTCTAAAAACTGACGGTTGGAATGACTCATGCGCAACGTTGCTGGTAATGCCAGCCAGCTTCACGGCTCGCATGACTACCCATAGGCCCCTAAATAGTTCCTTTTTGTGGTTTATATTTAGAATCCTATAAGGTAATCCCCAAAAGGAACTACTTTGGGGCCTGTGGGTAGGAAGAACATAAGCAAGCTCCGAGACGCCCCGGTCGAGGTGGTTCACGAACACGCGTCAGAGCAGCAGCCGGCTTCAGCGAATTTGTTGCAGCTGCTGGGACGTGCCTCGCTTGCACCAGTCAACAGGAAGCAGAATGATGTGGCGAAGATTCTTCAACCGACTGATGGGGCTTGCGGAAACACGTTTTTACAAGCATCTGTCCATGCAAGCTGAGCAAGAGCGAGCTATGTAGTGTTGACCCGGGACTAGTGAAGTTATACAGTACAGCCCACCATGCCATTTTAATTTTTCAGCCAGGCACCACATTCGCCTACAGAACCTACCTGTGCACCCAACACTAACCGAATAACCTACCAATGCAGGCACGCTGCCTCCAAAACCCCGAAAAGGCTGCTTGTTTCGGCTAAGCATTCACAGGTGCTTGGTGTGAATTCGAGGGGTATACGGTTGTGCTCAGGGGTTTAGGGGTGCGGGTGTTACTTGGCATCAACATTATCCGAGCGTTGCGGATCACGAGCTCAGCCTAGGTGCTGGAGAACTCATCGATTTGGTGCGCTGGCCGAGCCCAGTTAGCCCTAAAAAGGTTTAGCGTACTCTGGTCATAAAGAGCGCTGACCGACTTACTAGGTAGCTGGCTTCTTCTAAAGCAACTCCCAGACCCTAAACCGCCTAAAGCCTAAAACCTAAAACCCCTTATGTGCAGCTTTGCCAGCCTTGTGCGAGACCCTAGCCCTAGCTCATCACCCATTCCGAAAGCCCGCAGAGTTCTGAGGTCGGCCGCCTTCATAAGGATCTGTCTCAAGATGTCCGTGGCAGAGATGCTTCGCTGATCCAGGAGATGTGGGAGGGCATATGGGAGGTGGGTGATGAAGCTCGCTTGCTGCTAGACTCGCAGAGGATGTTCCTTGGCAGTTAAGTGAATTCATGTTGTGTTGCAACCATATTCTTTTATGATGTTATGATGGGGGTGTAGTCAGGCGAGGGTGATCCGAAAGCGAGGTGCATGCATGAAGAGCTCTGCAGAGTGCGAGACCGGCTGGTGCTGGATCAAGCACTCACTGATCTCGATGATGTTGCTTGCCTCCTTCCTTTTCAGCCTGTCGGTTTGGTTAAGATTCGCCTCAAATTACTTTCTTTCCCGCGAAGTCCTGAAATGCATACTATAGAAGCCTGACTAACTACCAATCTTAATTCCTTCACGTTTCTTATCATAGTTATAGTATAAGGTACCACAAAGCCCCATTCTAATTCTTAAGGCCCCCTATACTACCAGCGCATTCCCGAGGTTCTTCGCGAGCGCAAGATTCAAGCCGAGACACTGCACACCCTACTTCAGGCCGCTGCTTCATGGAGGGTTTAGGGTTTAGGGCTTTCTGCTGCTACAAGCTTTGTGACGTAGCGCCAAGAGTTGGACACGATCAAAACTTACTGACATGTGTGTTTCATCATTGCAGGGTTCGGGTGCAGAAGAGGTCGAGGTTGTCGTGCTTTTTGTCCGGTCGGCAACTTGACAGGTCACCGATCAACTCATTGCACAACGCAAGACCATGAAGCAGAGGGGTCTTCGAATTCCTGACCTGAACCGCTTCAATCTCAGCATCTTGTCTTTTCTTTTCTGAGGGACCCTATTGTTTCAATACTTCTCAGGGCAACGAGTGGCACGGAACTGCTGCTTCGTGTGTTTCCTCCTATTCGATTCCGAATTGGGTATCCGAGGCCAAGCCATGCAGGAATCGTATCCTCCAATCGAAGAGATGAAAACGACCCTGCGAGACTGGCAGGTCAGTTTGGAGTCTTGGGATGATGTGGACCTGAGCATGCGCAAGTCCTTCCCCATCCTGAACCACTTCACCCAATCCAATGTGCGTGAGCTGACTACCCCAAGACGACCAGAAAGAGACCTCCGAGCTTTACTTCGGAGTTGGGATGCCGACGTGGACAGACTTCCGGAAGAGCAGTGGCAGCGAATCCGAACTGGCCTCGCGCCGCCAGTGACAATGCTTGGATCTGCTGTCCGCTGGATGCATGCGAAGTTCCTGACGTACAATCTTTCGCCGATGCTGGAGAAGGAGGCTGTGCGTGTTAATTATCAGGCTTTGCCTTGCCACTTTCACTCAAACGCCTTGGTGCGTCGCAACTTCTTACTGCGTTTTTGAATCACGGTGATGCCTGCGTCACGGATGCATTTTGCAATGCCCATCCGAGTGTGCGGAAGTTCTGCTTCGGATAATCAGAGCTTAAATGCCCCTCAATCAGGTAGGGTTTAATTATGATATGCAGCCATTTACACTGTAAGGCTCCGGGAAATCTTTACTGAAATGAAAGCAAGTGGACTCTAGCGGGTAGAGGGCGCTAACTCTTCCGCATAATGTTGCCAGCGCTGATTGAAACGTTCATGACGGTCTATTGACTAAAGTGGTAGCAATGCAGACATTGGCAGCGCCCTCAGGTTCGTAAGAAGAAGGGAAAGCCTGACTCAGGTTATGAAAGCTTGCCAGTAGGAGCACACTGCATGCGCTGAAATACAGGGGGTCAGGACCAGCAGTACAAGGATGCAGAAGAGCTGTTCTGGTACCTTTTTTCGAAGGGTCTGAACTAGGAAAGACACAGTAGAAAGGCCAGTATGGACACTTGGTGTTTTGTGGCGGTATGCCGTTGCAACAAGCCACGGTTTGGGCGAGAAGAGTCCGGCATCGGTCGAAATAGTTTTCAAGATACATGCGTTCCTGTGTAAGGGTTTGATGGGTGCCGGAAACAAGTACTTGCAAGATGTCAATATTTATTTCAGTAGTAAGGGTCCGTTAAAGGTTCAATGTAGGATTTAAGACTGGTTCCGAGTGGACATTAGTGGAAGACTTCAGTTCCCCACGGGAACACTCCAACACTGGCAAAACTCCAGATGTTTGTGTTTAGAGCAAAGCTGACACACGACATCACCAAACGACTGTTTGTGGGAGAAACCTTGCCATGACCCTGGAGGCATTGTCGCTGCAGACTGTAGCGCATGCATTGCCTCAGCGCCGGTCAGTTGCATGCAGAGTGCCCACCATACCTGCATACCTCAAGCAGGGTGCGCCGAACCTGATACTGGCGCCTTCGACAGCTCTGGCATGACTTTTCATGAGATGAGGTGCTATCTGGGTTTGGGCATGTGCGTCCTAGACACTCAGAGTCGTGGGCGGTGCAGGGGGGCGAAACGGAGGAAGTTGGCTGCAGCCGAGGCGAAAGAGCATGATGTGATGCCAGCCGTCCTCTCCATGTTCCAGGAGGGGCGTTGTAAGTGTACATAAGGCCGTCTCTGACTGCTGGTGGACACAACCCCTGTATTGCCAATAGTCAATAATCGTATAAGGAATGTAGGACAGCTGCCGTAGTTCATAGGGCTTTGAGGTACTGCGGGATGCCTCCATCAGCAGTAGCGCCCAAGGACAGTCAGGCGGGTATGCCCGGAGCAAGCCAAGTTCTCCTTTGCCTGGGTCTGGACGTGCTCTTCCAGGACATGTTCCGAATGGGTCCTAACTGCCTACATGAGTTTCTCTATCAGGAGTTATGAGTTGGGTTTGTGTCAGTATGTCCCATCTAGGTACTTAAGATCCTTTGGGGTTTGGCGGTTTGCAGGCCGTCACGTTGCCAAAGTTCGATTCTTTCCGAGTCATCTTTTCTCGCAGACGCCGAATTAGGTAAGTACAGCGGTTGATTAACCATGACGGCATAGAATACCAGGAGGAGGCTTTGCGCCTTTTTCTTTTGCGCTGCATGCTCTCAGATAACGGCGCGCTTCACGTGCTGGTATTACCAGAATCATTGCCTGCGTCCACTCAAGAATACTTCGTGACTTGCTGGCAGCGCTTGGCACGAGATCTTCAGACATCGGCGGGCCGAGGAAAATACTTGCTTGCAATTGTAGGATCCATCAGCCGGAGCTGCCTCGTATTTGATGCTTTCCGTGCCCATCAGAGAGAATCCCCTCAGTTGCGAGTTGAGAGGCTGAGACAGCAGCTGGTAAGTCGATGTAAGATCGTCTGGTCGAAAGATGCCTGTGCCGGAAAGTCGACATTCATCCATCAAGACTGTGACAATTCTGGTACTCGACGGACTGTGGTTGCCGTCAATGAAGCCACCACAGACATTGACATTGTCTGCAGGCTGCGCGACTGTCGTCATTGGCAGTCTGGTGCGATCATCTTGGCCTTGTCTCCATTGGTGTCTTCATTGAGACTGGACACGTTGCTATTCCGCATCCTGGTCCTCCGCCAGCTATTGTATGCTGATGGCGAGCCATTCTGGCTCGATCATGAGACTCTCGGGCTATCCTAAACCCCAAACCCTATAGACCCTAAACCTATGAGGGCTCCTCATAGTGCGAGCGAGAGTGAGAGTCGAAACCTAATGAGGGTTGAAACCGGGGCCAGGAAGCGATTGAGGAGTGGGTCGAGTGTTCAGGAGCAGCCACCGGATGAAAGAGACAGTTGAATTCGAATTCATAGGCCGGATCCGGAGCCTGGGACAGGTCATTTCTCAGCACATGGAATCGTATGAGAAAATTCGTCGATGTTCCTTTAACAAGGCCGGCTAGATTCGATGTCTCGTGTTGTTCTTGCCTCCGGCTATTCACTCCCAACTCCTGCAACTCGTCAACGATGTCGTTCAGGAGTCTGTACTTCGAACCCGATTCTGTCACGGCGGCTTACGAGGCTTAGGAACCCTAGCCGCTATAGACCTCAGTCGAAAGCGCTGACATGCGAGTCCGATGAAAAACAGCTCCATGGACTCAAGCCGGAGTCTCTGAAGTGACACTGTGTGATTTGCACTGGTTGCCCTGCGGTGCTGAGACAAGACAACCGAGGAGAATCTACGTCGAGATTCCCAACATGCTAGAGCATGCCACCTCATCAGATCCAGCTCTGGGCAGCTTCGCGAGTCTTGGGCAGAAGCCCAAACAGGCCACTCTAAAACACTGGCGTAGTTCATCGAAGAATCCTGGCCAGTGGGACTTGCTACCACTCACAAGAATATGTTCGCTGTTATGACTTATTTGGCGATGCAGTCCATTTAACTGTAATCCTTGGTGCAGTCCCTCCACCATCATGAGAAGGGGTGAACGCTTGTCGCAATATGGCAAAGCTTGTTTGGCAATCATAGCGCTCCGCAGCGATTCCGCATGTCGCTTTGAGCTTACAGTCCCCGAGCGAGGAACATGCGAGGGACACGACACCGCCCATTGCATGTGTTGTGTTGGATCCCCAAGTTTACCATGCACGGCATCTTTTCGCACCAAGGGCTCACCATGAGTTGAAGCTCTCTCTGGAATAGTCTTATCGCCTGCCGAATGCAGAATGATCATTCCGTTCCGATGCCTGGAGCTGCGCGAGTCTTTAATGTTCAGCTTGTCTGCGCAAGGAAGTTGGTGACCGTGCACGAGGTTCGCATGTCCAATCTTCTAAATCTTGGAAACCCCACTTTGGACAAGGCCGGCTTCATGGCGGCAGTCACTTTCAACTGTTACTTAAGCGACTTGAGAAGCTCGAACCAGTGGGGCGTGCAGATGAAAGTTGTTCTTCGATTTCTGCTGCGGGGTAGAGGTATTCGAACTTGCTAGCGCTCCACCAAGCACACATTATAAGTGTCCACATTTCAACCATCTTCGGCCACAAGCCCTTCAGCTCGCGCATCCTCTTGTGCAAACAGGCCACCCGGTATCTCTGGGCGCTGTGCCAAGGAGCTCTCTCGCCGAGTTTTCAGGCCCGACAGAGAAAGGGTTTAAGGGTTTAGGGATGCCGGGTTCCAGTTGGAATACCTTGAGGGGTTTCTTTTGTTGAAACTGCCCGAAAGCCCATAAGAGCTAAACTTGCAAAAGCCTACACTGCTTAAAAGCCTTATAGCTGGCAGAGTAGTGGGCTTTTCTGTCACGCTTATTTCCTGTCTGGACTCGACTATGACAAAAGCGTTTCAGGCCGGTTCTTCGTTGCATAAGGGATTGAATTATCCTTACCCTCAAAGGACTCATATTTTAAGGCTATTTTAGGCCCAAAGACCCTACTACATAAGGCTTTATGTCAAACCCTACTACATAAGGCTTTTGGGCTAAATTGATGCTACGAGTTTGGGTGGAGGAGTCTTGGGTCCCTGTGCTTCCGTGTGCCCAACGCCGTTCCAGCCCTATTCCCGATAGGAAGGACCTTAGGGGTTTAGGGTTTAGGGTTGAGGGTGTATAAGGTTTATATAGTCCAGGAACTGATGGGGTTTAGGGTTTTGGTCCGGGGAACTTGGGAGCTGGGTATCATCGGTAGTACCACTGATCAGACTTACCCATGATGCCCTGCATGCCAAGCCAAACTGCCATGACATGAACATGGATCATCAAAGCTCATGATTTCGCGACCCCGTTGCCCAGAGCATCGAACATCTAAGACTCGAGTACTTATTTCTGTCAGCAAGGTTTCGCGAATTCTGCAACATGTAGGAATGTAGGAGTACGTCAACGGTATACTGTCTGAACGCTGGGCTTAGTGGAGCAGGGTCCCGAGTCAGGGGTCATCAGGTCTCGCAAGCGCCACGGCCAAGCCCGGAGCAATGTGGCGTATTGTTGCGGGCATCTCGACCATCCGTGGCATGCTGTGTGTTTGTGGCTGTACGAAACCCAATCGGCAGGCTGTTTCGGAGCTTATAGCCCTGGAAACGAGAAAGACGCTGCCGGCCCTTCACTATCATGTCCCACCAGACCTGAGCGAATTTCTAGCTCAACAGTGCATTTTGGGCAACAACCGCATCAACCGTCAGTCGCAGACCCTAAGACCCCCAGCTGGGGGGGGGGGGACCTGCCCTCAACTCCAAATCCTAAAGCCCCGAGACTTGGAGACAGTGTTGACTAAGGACTACGGCCCGAATCTCGAAGATGGCACATCGGCACTGAGCACTTCGCCTTCCGCCGCCCGAGCTCTGAGAATGCTTGCCGGACACGTTTAGGGTTTAGGGGAGATCTACAGAACTTGTACCCTGCGTATTGATGGCTGCGTTGCATAAGATTGATGGTTAGTGGCGTGCAGGCTGCTATTGGGCACGATTCCTTTAAGAACAGCTCGCAGCTCCCGGCACTTCTAGCAGTGACGGCTCGAGCCCTCGGAGTTAATATGCTCTCGTGGCAAAAAAGTGCCCTGCATAGGTTCGTAAGCTTAGACATCGGAGACCGTTATAGGGTGGCCTTGGTTTCTCTGGGTTCCAGATACCAAATTGCAAGTAAGCAGTCCTTACGGTCTTGCGACGGTCTCAAACCAAAGCCTCAGGGTTTTGAGCCCAAGAACACCGAACCTTAGTCTATCACCTTCCTTTCTGGTCCGTCTGTCCTTGTTGTTGTTTGTCCTCATTTATCAGACTCTGCGCTGCCCAGGTTCTGGTGGTGTACTTCGCAAGGATCGTGTGCCAAACGTTCGAGTGCCCCGGTGTGGACCATCCAATGTAGTGTAATTGTACTTTGCTCCTGTAGCCTAAAGTCACAAGCATCTCATCATCTGCCGGCCAACCTTCAACTTTCAGAAGCCTCCCATTTAACTCCTGAGCCGACAAAGTCATGAGCAGGTCTTGTTGCCAGTCTTCGGGTCGTCGAACACGAAAGCTACGGTCAGCAACAGAGAGATGCCGAGCGGGGTTTTCAGGTGGTCGAGCCTGTCAGACAGGAGTACATGGGATTGTTCTCGGCATCAATGGAGAAGTATATCTGAAACACGAATCCGACCAGTAGTGCAGTTTTCAGTGCGAAAACATACGCCGAGTCTACCAGCGCAGTGGCCGTAATATGGCAGCAAACTATGACGTAAGAATAAGTCTAGCACTAAAACGCCGACTCCCCAGCTTCATTAAGTGCTATAGAGCTAGCTTATAGGCCAATGCACTCAACCTTAAATCTGAGAGTTTCTAACTCAGGTCAGCTCTCCGTGGTTTGAAGAGCTTCCACTTCGGCCGTAACACACAGGCATCTCAGCGCTTGATGCATGGCAAGCTGAGAACTGCGGGTTTAGGCTTCAGTTACGGGTTCGATCCTTGAGGGATAAGTTTAGGATCTAGAATCTAGGGCCACTTTAGGGCTTGTAGCTTTTGGCTGTTGGGAATGGGGTAGGTCAAATCTTGGATAAGAGAGAGCATGGGCTCCTTTCAGCCCACGCCCTCCGATCCAGAGTATGACGTTTTGTTGTTTTGCTTCGCATCTTGCTGGCTGAGGATGGGAAAACTATGCGACTTCGCGGCGCAGCTTGCTGCACGCCATTTGTAGTTCTGCCGCACTTTGGCTTCGGTATGTAGAGTCTTCTTCAATCATGAAAACCGAGCCGGGCGTTGAACGTCGACGTAAAACAGTCTTCGCAGTGGTATGCAACAAAATAAAACCGGAGTTGAAGCCTAGAGACTCTGGACCCGAGCACGCTTCTAGCTGCATATAGATCAACGGCGGAAATAGCTGCGGGCTTTCAGCTCGATGGGAGGCTGCTCTAGGACTGCACTCCTGGCGTGGATGATGGAGCACGAAAGTCTGTATGTGTGAACCCTCGAAGAACCTGCCGAGGTTTGTCGTCTCGAAGCCCTATAAACCCTATGCCCCGAACCTTTCAAACGAGATGTCTGTAGGGTGTCGAAGAGCAACCCGAAGACGTGAGTCTGCACCAAGGAAGTGTCGCCTGATTGTTGCATAATTCTAACATATAGATATACAAGCGTCAATAACTACCAACATTATCCCTTAGGGTTGCCTTTATAACGTGTTGTAGCATAAGATTCCCCAGAGCCCTTTCCTTATATTATTAAGGACCCGACATCGGTCAAAAACCTTCGACGGAGAAAGCGACCACGCTGCGAACAAACCAGCCTCCATCCTCAGCCCCCAAATCTTTGCGATAGCTGAGATTCGGGCTTCGGGTTTCGGGGAGATAGCAAATCCTCAGGGCCAAAAATTGGGGAATTGTAGAGTGCCGAGGTTGCGGAAGTCTTTTCTGCCGGAGCAGGCGCAGATGCTACAGCTACCGGCAGATAAAGGCCATCGTCTCAAAGAGGGAAGCCATTCTATTGGGCTCGTAGCATTCTGAAAGCTTGACTTGCTGTTTGATTGTGAACTTGCGGCGTAAGCCTGCTCCAAACCTACAGCAGGTTACATCAAAGACCCTTCGTTGAGTCAGTGTGCACACAGAAATCGGTCAGTCATGGGAACTTTCTGTCTGGTTCTGGATGCAGATTGCAATGCGTGAGCATAGCTGACTGCATTGATACCGCAGCGAAATCTGCGAGATCCTGTTGGCACGCATGCTTGCATCTGCAACAAGGAGTTGGCGGCATGGCACATGAGTTTGCACAGCACGTGCCAAACCGAATCCTGCTAAAGCTGCTAAGGTCGTTCCTTCCCATTGCTGAAAACCTGGGGTGAGGAGCTAGTGATGATTCCTTGTCAGGCTGGACGCATGCATGTGCGTGTGTGTGTGTGTGTTGTGTTGGGTTTGTTTGTTTGCTTGTTTGTTTGTTTGTTTGTTTGTGTTTGCTTGCTTGCTTGGTTTGTTTGTTTGTGTTCGAGTAGTTACATTAGTTTGTCCGGTTGTTTTTATCATGTATTTGTTTGTTTCTTTGTTTGTTCGTTTGTTTGTTTGAATGTCTGTCTGTCTGTCTGTCTGTCTGTCTGTCTGTCTGTCTGTCTGTCTGTCTGTCGGTCTGTCGGTCTGTCGGTCTGTCGGTCTGTCGGTCTGTCCGTCTGTCCGTCTGTCCGTCTGT